CTGAACGGAGAACCGGGCTGACCGGGCTGAACGGGTGACCGGGCGAACGGGGGGGGCCTGGTCACGGTCCGGTCGTCCGGTCGACACCATCCTCGCCCCTGAAGGGTGAGCCCGCAACCGAAAGCTTGCCGCTAGTGGAGTCCGAAACCCGCAAAGTCTCTTAAGCCTTTGCCTTCGAAGCCTCTTTTCCCTTCGTCCTTCCCTTCAAAGCCTTCGAAGCCCCTTTGTCTTCACTCCTCACAGCCTTTGAAGCCTTCGAAGCCTTCAAAAGAAGAGAACCCTCTTCTTTCAGAGCCTTTCTTCCGTTCGTCGAGTCGAAGACAAAGATCAAGTCCCTTTGTCAATCGAAACCCCTTTGTGAAAGTCTCCGGATGCTGCTTGATGGGGGAGGCCAGTTCCCTAAAGCGTGCGGTTGAGCCCGAAACCTGTCAGCTTCTTGCTAGTTCAGCCCGACACCTGACAAGTATGCGAGTGAGCAGTTTCTGCAGTTGCTTTTTTCATGCTCCAATTGTCGGAAAGACGGCCACCAGTTTAAGATTCTTTGCAGAAAGGCGAGAAGTATGTTTGAGCCTTTCGTGTTGCAGTTGAGCCCGAAACCTTTAAGCTTGGGTCGAGTATGGAAACCATTAAACAGCGTGAGTCTGTGGTGGAGATCGAACAACCTTCCGCCAGGCCGCATTATGGCCCAAAAGATTTTGCATGTTTTTTTTGCGTGGCCGCGTTTTTTAGAGTGCTAATTTTCCTTTTTTGTTCTTTGAAGTCTTGTTGGGGGAGGAGAGAGCTCGCTGTCAGTTACAGTCAGTACATGTTGTTCAGTTTTGTCTGTCTTACCGTGCACTTGCCGTCAGTACATGTTGTTCAGTTTATGTTAACGGTCCTGTCTTGCAGTGCACTTGCAGTCTTCACATGTTGTTTAGTTCATGTTGACAGTCATGTCTTGCAGTGCCCGTCTGAGACTGCTGGGGTAGGAGGGTGGGGTAGGGCTGGAAGCTGAGGGTTTGTGCAAGAGGTTTACCGACCTTGTGCTGCAAATGTGGTTTTAGGCAAGTTTTGCGTCTTGCGCAGGCTGGCGTTGGGCAGACAGGGGACGGTCCGGGACTTAAGGGCCTTGGGTGGCTTCCAGGGCCCCACGGGCAAGCGCTCGAAATTGCTCGAAATCGGGAGGCTGGTTGCTTGAAATTTGGTGGGTTTGCTCGAAATTCAGTGGGGTGCTCGAAATTCTGGGCTGTTCCTCGAAATTCCCTAGTGGTTCCTTTATTAAAATAGCTTTAAGCTTGCTCGAAACTCAGAGGCGTTTGCTCGAAATAGGGCCGTGTTGCTCGAAATACCGAAAATCGGCTTCTCGGTGATTCCTGAGGGTATGCATGGTCCGTGGTTGAGAACTTTGCCGTTTTCGGGGTTTTGGGACAATTTGGGACTTTGGGACAAATTTGCAGGAAAATGTTAAACAAAGAGGAAAACAGCACAAATCATGCGTGAAAGACTTGATAGCAAATCATGCGTGAAAGACTTGATAGCAAAGAGTCGGACGGTCAAAGCACATCAAACATCCCACGGTGTCCCCCTGTAGCGTGATGCCGAGCCGCCGCTGGAGTGCTGGACTCTTTCAGCGGGACACACGATGACTTTGATTTGTGTTGTGAAAAGGTACACTGGACAAGGTTGTTTCATGCGTCCTGGCACAATAAACTCTGTGCGAACACTTTGCTATAATATTCGTACAGTTTGTGCTACCAAGGAGTGAGCCTACCAACCCTTCCTTCAGTGCGATTGATACCGATGATGAACTGATGAACAAGCTACAAGGCTAGAAAGACTCGTAGCTTCACACAAGCAAGGTGCCCCAAGTGCAATAAACGTTCAAAAAGCTTCGGCGTAATGCAACAAAAGCACAAGCAACAAACATCAACTGCGTCAACGAACTGTTCAGTCGACAGTGTCAGTGTCATGCCCAGCCCAGGTTTCTTTAAATACATTGCGGTTTTTGTCGCACGCATTATGGAGGCATTGCCCGGCACCGGAAAGTAAAACGGATCGAGTTTTGCGTCATGGATTTGCCGCGGGAGGCTATCCCAGCTAAGATCCCAGCGAAGTCGCCCCAACCGCCGTCAACCCGTGCCACTGTTATCAGGATCAGTGCAGGCGGTAAGGCATATATGGGCCCCAAAGCTAAGAACAAGAAAGGAAAGTTAGCATTTTGGAGCGGGTTCCGGCCGGAGCGGGGAAGAAGGACTTAAGCTATCAACGAAACAGCCAGAGACTACACTTTAACAGAACGCAGTTTTGAAAACTGGATATAAGAGAGAGGGCTTGTAACGGTTTGCTTGCATTGCAGCTGTGGCTCGGTTTGACCATCATGCAATGCCACCAACTCAACATGATCATGGTCAGTTCTGCAGCAAAATGACAGCACAGTCTGGTGTTCGACCCGTGCTGCATGCTATGTGGTTATGTGGTTAGACCCAGGCTTACCCAAGGACATGATGTTTTGCCAAGCTGATGTGGGCATCCTCTCGGAGCTTCACATCCAAATGCAGGCATTCCAATGGGATTTCGATCGGCTCTGTGGTATTTTGCGAGTGCGCCACATTCCAGTACCGGCCGGTCGCAGTCGCAGTCGCAGTCCAGTCGCAGTCGCAAGCAGTGGTAGTAGTAGTGTTCCACAAACATGTAGATTGTGCTGGCAAGCAGGGCAGCACGGCACACGTTTTTGCCATTGGGGAGATGTCGTGTGGCAATGATTGTGGCCGCTGTGCTACATCAAGACGCCCAGGGCTCAACTTACTTCTTGTCTTTTTTCGCACTTGGCTTCGAGCAAGAAGAGACACATCAATAGAGGGAGGAACTAGTAGAAAGAAGCAGTTTTCCAGTGTGAATGTTTTGCCATGGCTTTCGTCGTATTTGTGCTGCCCTAAGCCACCCGGGCTTCGGAGCAGGGGCCAGAGCCTTTGTGCTTCAAGGTCGCGTCGTGGTGGAGGAATGATGGTTGTCATTAAGTTTTAAGGGTTGCGCAGTCCCAGTGATGGCTTCGTTCAGGTCTTTTGTTTGTCGACCCATGTCTTGGCGAGAAGGAGGCACTTCACTGCTTGCGAGTCCGGCATCCGCCGAGACAGAGGCATGGGTAGGACGTCGGGACGGCGCCACGACTGCTTCTGTAGGACTGGCAGGTTTTAGCAGTGATGGTCCAGCTCGGCGCATCCTCATCGACACCGACCCAGGCTTGTGAACAGCATTTTGAGCGGTTTCACCACGCGGTTGAGCAACAAAAGGGCTAGACTCCTAGACCAACTGACAGGTGTTGATGATGCATTGGCGATTCTGTTGGCATCGGGATCGTCAGAGCTGAAGCTGGAAGGATTGTCCATAGCTTTTGGGAATGGCAAGGAGCACTCGTCTTCTAACTTTCGATTGTCGGCATGCCTGAGTCTGGTTAGATCACCCGCTGACCCCACCTAATGCTTGGTCAAGAGATATTGTTGCGACGAGGACATCGCAGCCCTCGGCCGCTCAGACGACACAAGCACGACTGTCCGCATGGCTTCTCATGGTCGCACCTTTGTTGTGTTTGAGACTTGCACGAAGGCTTGCCTGCTGCAAGGTTCCAATGCCAAGCTGCTTCTTCGCTTGGCGGGCTTAGCGGAGACCCCGGTTGCTTTGGGTGCACAGCCCGATTTGCACGACGGTGAAGCAGGCTAGTTGCCTGCACTTCAAAACACTCTTTGCTTTCTGTGATTGTTGGAGTACAGATTGGATTTGATAGTCGTCGGTGTTAGAGAGTTTCTTGACACCCTCTTCAAGGTGCCATGGTCAGTCGTGAAGGTATGAAGAAAGCCCTGGTGCATGGAGAAGACCACATGGGCAATGTCAGCTCTTTGGCGGCATCATGCACTGACTGAGACAGCTACCCATGAGATGCCAGGCATTGCCTGCCAGTCAGGTGCCAAATATGGCAAAGATGCTTCAGATCGAACAGGATTTCACGAGCTCGCTGCCCCGGAGTTCATCTACGAAACGTGCAAATGCAGCTTGAATTGACACACAGTGAAGGGCAGTCCTTGACGCAAAGAGGGCTTGTCCAAGTCATCAGACCACGAGAGAGTTGCAGGATGTCTCCTATGAGGCCACAAGCAACCCGTGCTCTTTGCTCACTTGCTCGTCTCTCTTGTCCGCTACAGCGCACGCTCGGACAGTTTGTCAGTCAGTTGGTCACTCACTTCATCTTTCTGAGTTCGCTCGTGGTAGGCTACTTGCGGATGTGTTTCAGATTCATTCGGGAATTGGGGTACGGGCCGGGTACGATGGTGCCGCTGCCGTGCACGGTTTTCGGTTGAGCCAGTCGCAGGCAGTCCACGGGAGATTACGTTGGTCTGCATCGGTCCTCTCCATAACCTAGCTGCAGCCCTGGACTCGCATCCAGACCTGCCACAACTTCTCCGCTACTCGGCAATGAAGTCTTTGTTGCCTGCGCCATCTTCTCTTTCACTTGGTAGGTGAGGTTGTGATCATGGGCGGTGCTTTTGGCGAGCGCCGTGGCAACCGGACGCCGTCTGCCGAAGCCAACTTCTTCGACGGTCCAGAAGCTGCCCAGGCACACAGAGGTGTCCTGCAGTCGTCATTCCAGTTCCTAAAATGCCATCGATTCGAATTCCTGGAGCTCCTCTAAAGGCAGTGCTGACTGCTGGCTTTGAGAGACTGGTGTTAGCAGGCCGGGGCAGCAGGGGCAGAGAATGCTCTATCCCTTTCCAGTTTTGGGAGTAGCTGGGTTTGTCTAAAAAAGTTTGCATTGGCTTTGATGCCTTGCAGGATTGGACATCACGCACCAGACAGACATGCTGGTTTTGCGGAAGGAATGTTTGGAATCTGGATCTGCCTTGTCCCAGTTTGTTTGGGACCTGTGCGAGAACTTCATCAACGTCTATCACGCTGCCCTGCCAGCAATCAGCATATCATCCTTGTTCTTCATGTTGTTGCCGTCGCTGTTGTCGTTTGTACTTCAGGCATGCATGTCCCGTTGGTGGTGTTTTCCTTTGTTTACTGTTGTTGCTCTTCAGGTCCGTTTGTTTACTGTTGTTGCTCTTCAGGTCCGTTTTGCAAGCAATGCAGTGATGATGGTGAGTGATACTCGTGAGTCTCATCATTATCGTCATGAGTCATGGTAGGCATGATGGGATATAGTTTGGTTGGCCTCACTACAGTGGCCAGAGGGGCCCGACGTTCCGATTGTGCCACGGTTTGGGCTAAGTTCGTAATGCAACCATGACCGTGGTAGCTGTTTTGTTGCAGCGCTTGTGGCTGCTAGGGTGGCGATGGGGGATACCACCCATGATTTCATAATGGTGACGATAATTCAATAATGGAAATTATGACTGATGGCCATGACGAGCGCAAGCATTCCCGCTGATGCTGCTGCGGTGACTGCTGTTGATGCAGACTGTGATGATCGCAGTGGTGGTGGTGGTGGTGGTGGTGGTGATGGTGGTGGTGGTTTAGTTTTGGCAGTGTTTGTTTGATTGTGGGACAAACGCGAAAAGCATGATGACCCATCTCAGGACTGGGGCGAGACCCTTGCACCAGCACACGACGCAGTTCCCATCATGTGCCGAGCCGGACTTTCGTTTTGGGTTCACAGCGCCATCCCAGTTGAAACGATTGTTCTTTGGAGTTTTGAAGTTCGGGTTATGCGCAGAGTGTTGGATCTCGGTGAGGTACCTGCTTCGACCCGACCTCTTCGAAAGTCAAAACGTTCGGGTCGAAGTGGAAACGCGAGGCGAAATTACTCGCGGGATGTCCATTGCAGACTGGAAGGGTCAGTGGGGCAAGGAAAGAAACTGCACAGTACTTCGCAGGAGACTTGGCAACACATGGATTTGCGTGAAGTTGCTTGTGGCTGCCGTACACAGAGCAAAATAGTTACACAGTCGCACGATTTGACGCCGGTGCTTTCAAGGATTAGAGACCGTGACGAGTTCTACCGGGTGTTCGTTCGAGCTATTGCTCGTTTGCCTGTGTCCAGAAACTGAAGCCGAAGACGGCAGCACAATGCTGTACATAGTTACATAGCCATAGTGAAGCTCGCGAACAGCCGGCTCCAATGGATGTGCTGTGGCATTGCCAAGAAAAGTTTGGCATGTAGCTCCAATCGGCCTCAGCGCCCTGTCGCCGGATCAGGACTTCGTGGTGCGACTTTCGGGTGCCTTGCGAGATCTCTCGGATTCCGGGAAGGACCGTGGAACATCTGAGCTCGAAGAGTCTGCAACTTCGAGCCTGGGCACTCGACGAGGGTTTCAGTCTATCCTGGCAGGAGGGCGAGCCGACAGTGCGGAAACATGCTCAAGGCAGCGGCCAGCCGACCGACTCATCTTTTGTGGCTAGGATGTTTGTCACGAGCAACATTCTCGGCTGTGATTGTTCATTTGACCTGTTGCAAGTGTCATGTTGGAAATCATGCGTTGACTGTATCCTGCCCATGACATCTTGCATGGGGAGCCCGTTTCGCAGATCGGCGAGTGTTCTGGGGCGGCTTTGTCAGTAGGAAAAGGTCAAGCGACTGATCTTGTTTGGACCCCTCTGCCAGTGCCTCATGGTCGTCTTGTGGTATCTCACCTCACCGTCGCTCTCTTGCAGGCAGCACCGATAGATGCGGGATAGTTGATTTCATCATCCTTCTTGGCCACCATGTCACAGGAGGGGTCATCCGGCTTTGTCCATCTCCTTCAGCCCCGTGTGCACAGCAGCTTTGTCAGAAAGCCGCCGAATAAACAGCATCTTGGAACCATATCAATGTAAGACTTACACCGCTGCGATGCTTGCAAGATTAGCTCTGCCCGGCTCTTTGCCCGAACTGGGGCCCTGCAGTATCCCTCCTTTACGACGTTTTCCATGTTCGTGTGAAGAGCTCTTTTGCACGCTTGATCCGCTTGGCGAAGGGCTGCACGAATCCTGCCGACGATTTCAGCTGCTGGCCCGCAGTGTTCCTGAGGAGGCCCTTATTGGGAATTTGCACTTGTAGGGTCGAAGGGATCTGTGGGACAGGTCAGCAGGTGGAAGTACGGTGATTTCGCCTCGGCTGTGGAGGATTTGCAAGAGCAGGCAGGAGTCCTGGGAGGGTCAGTGACTCCGCTGCGGGCTCGCATCCGCCCGGGCCAGGACTCGCAGTTGACGGAAGAACTGCAGCGAGTTGCCGGCGAGGCAGAGGAGCTGCGAAAGAAATCCGAGCCGCCTGGTCTGCACTGGAGCGCTGCTCCTGCATTGTCCCTCCTTTTGATGCCTTGCTCCGAGGGAAGCCGTCTGGGAAGTCTCTGGAAGGAGCCGCTCCTGGAGAGGGATCCCCTCATGTCAATGTTTGTTTCTATGGGAACGCTGCCCTGCAAGGCTCATTGGCGCAGAGGATGATTTGGAAAGAGACGACCCAAGGTCGTGTATTGCCTGATCATGGCCATTCTGACGTGCTCCTGCAGATTCCCACATTATGCTGTACTTACTTGGTGACCATAAGTACCATAAGGGTAATAAGATTGCTAACTATTATCCCTGCAGGCCGGAAGAGGAAGCATCCACGGTTCGCTCTGCAGCTTCTGTTCGCCCGAAGCTGCAGGATCTTGCCCAGTTCAGGCCGGCTTTTATCGGGGAGAAAGATCGAATGACAGTGAGTTGCAAATGCCCATCAGCTGTCGCTGCCTGGCTGCCTGTGAAGGCCGGGATAGACAGGGTTGAACGAGGGTTTGTGGTTGCCTGCCATGTAGACTATCCCTTCAGGTCAGGCTCACGTGTCCTGGGACTGATCGTTGGGCAAATGCCAACTGTCATTCTGGCAGGTCGCGCCGTTTCGCAGAAGAATTGGAGTTTGTCCAATGCTTGGCAAATCCCAGTTACGTGCCTGCCCGACATGTCTGACCGCAACGGTTTGTGTGCGCTTGATTTTCGTGGTCATCTTGACCGTTGAGGAGGCACACCGAGCCTTTATTCCCGACTGATCTTCCGAAGATCTCGGAATCTTCCGACCCCATCGGCCCACATTGCCACGACATGGGGCCCCGATGTGGCCCAGCACTGTGGCCAGGATGTGGCTGGCCTCTCAGGGCTTTCTTGGCGATACCGGCTTTGCCCACTTCCTCGACTACTTGTCCGGGCCCACGCGGTTCGTGCAGGTTCGTGCTGCAGGGGACTGTAGGAGCCGAGCAGAAAGGAGAAGAGCTTGCATTCAGCTAAGGTGCTACTGGAGACGGCCGCAGTATGTGCGCTACGCCGGGTTCCTTAATGGGGATCCGAAAGGTGCCGACGCTCGCCGGAGTTGGCTTCCTGGCAGTCTGCAGTGTGTGTACTGCTCAGATCACCTACCCGGCGTCCCTGGCGATGCTGGATCTTCTGCGGGATCCAGCAGCCTTCCGCCCAGCTTGTCGGACGGCAAAGCCTTCGGTGATCCCTTTTGCTCCAGGTTCGAGGACGGCTCCAGCGAACAGACGCCGAGAGCTTCCTGAGCAGCAATCTGCTGCATGCCTGGGGGAAAGTCCAGGAGGCCTCCGCGGATATTCGTGGTCCGAGCGGAGACCTCTTGCTTTCTGATTGATAATTCGTGATCAGGTTCGGCTGGGCCCAGAAGCTGACCTTGCTGGTCCCTCCCTCGTGTTGCAGGTTGTGTCTTTTGGCACCTGAAACTTGGCCCCACAGGCGCCGAGGCTGTCGAGGATCCCATCATCGATGAGCCGGCGCCGAAGAGCGAGCTGCTGAGGAGGGCAGCGAGGGGGAGGCTCTCCACTTGTTTGATCCGACTGAGGTCCCACATGCGACTCGTCCATCACGGCTGGTATCTTCTCGAACGCAGGTGCTACAGGCAGCACCCGTCGGCAGCACCCGTCGGGTTTCGGATTTCATTGCCTTGCCATCCTGGCAGGGCCGGACAAGGGCCAGGCAAAGGCCGGCAGCATAGCAGCAGCCCAGGGTAACGCCGCATGGAATTGTCATAGGATGAGTTTCGCATCGATACGCAAGGGCACTTCACTCGTCGTATCGCTGCTAGAGTGCTAGAGTTTGGGATTCAAGGCCTTTCTGCGCTGCGGGCTCAGAACTTTCGGGGCTGATGCTGAGGTGATCGTAAGCTGTAGCTAGAGTTCCTGTGCTGAGGATCTTTTCGCAGTGCGTTGGTTCCATGTAGTTGCACCTCAGAGGGAAGCATGGCTGTTATCTTTCGAGCCTTTAGGACTTGTGTGTATGAGCTCGCTTCCATTCATCTTATGAGCCCTCCTCTTCGCAGCATTATTATTCTGTGGCGACCTTCAGGAAATTCTTCATCTGCCTCATCTCTCGTGTACATACAGTGCAAGTCATCTCTGCAATGCTAACAGCTGAAAGTGTTGATAAGGGCAGCAGCGGTTGAACAGTAAGTCTCTTCTGGGTCGCACACCTGCTTCTGGCCCTCCAATCCGGCATGACATCCTGCCCTCCCACCCGCTCCACACCGTCCGGCTGCGATGTGCAGCTAACCGTGCGGCCTCCACGGTCCGAAGCTCTCCAAAAACAGCTGCTTAACCAAACCCCTCTGAAACATAATCCCTATATAAGTCCCTAGGCCCTAAACCCCGAAAACTAAACTTCAAGCAACAAAAAAACAACAGCCCTAAGCCGAAGGCCTGGTTGAAGAGGCGCTTGCAGAAGCAGGCAGAGGGGACCCGAGCCAGGACTCGGTCAGAGCCGGAGGGGCCGAGCGGAGCTGGGTTCTGGGATCTGAAGTGCGCAGCCTCAGGGCGCTACAAGAAGAGCCAGAGCCCTCATGGGCCTCATGACAGCCATGATGACAAGAATTTCTTTTCGCAAGTTGTCGTAGGACCATCAGCGAAGAAGCTGAGTCCGTTGCTCGCCCACTGCTTTTGCCGCTCGGGTCTGAGGTCACAGGGCTTAGGATCAAGGCCAGGGCTCCTCCGTCGAAGATCTCCCCCCCAAGTTTCTTCTACCGCAATTTGGTCTCGTCGGCCGAGGGTGTGTGGATCAGCCGAGAAGTTGGTGGAAGCCCAAGCTTCTACGGGTTCTGCACCAGGTTTCTGAGGTATGTTGGGCTTGGGGCGCAGGGTTCTGGGGATCGGATCGCAGTGTGAAGTCAGGGTATTGGGGCACCCGCTTCTCAAGTTTAGCAGCTTAGCATTGCTGCCATTCTCTCAGTGCTTCTACTGAGGAGCAGGTTGTGAAAAAGCGCAAGCAGACATGGCAGGACTGCTTGCTTTGACTGGCGGATTTGTGATACTGTTACTTGCGAGATTTCCAAGCTCATGTCTTATGTGTCCATCAGATCAGATATAACCGAAATCCATCTAGGGGTGGACAGCATGCGCCAGAGGGACCAGCGTTTCACACACAGTCTCTGAAGCGTTGCCTTGCTCGAAGCAGTACAAACGAAGACCCATGAATCGCGGCTGTTCTGTGCCGAGGATCCGTCGGATGGAGCCAAAGGTGATCTGGCCGAGGCACTTCCTGCAGCTTAGGGGATCGGGGTTGAAGGCCCAAAAGCTCTACACCCTCAAAAGTCCCGGGCCCTGAGCCATTGTCCTAAGCAGTCACAGCAGCCGGCACACAAGCCCTTCCAGGTCAGTCGACGAGCTCCGCTTGATCCGGTGCCATCAAAGGTCCCCGGGATTCGTGCCCACCAGCCGTGAAAGATGCCAGTGATTATACTGTACAACAAGGTTATAGGTTCAACGGGTGCATTCCTTTTCATGCTTTGATGATGATGAATATGGCAGGTCGTTTTCCCAGTGTTGCGGAGGCTTCGATTGTTGGTTTGCCTATTATCCAGATTCTTTTTCTAAGCACTTCCACCGCCACAACAAAGACGACTACTACTGCTACTGCACCTCCTCCGCCTCCTCTTATTACTACTACTACTACTACTATGCTGCGACTACCATACTGCTACTATTGCTCCTACTCCTAACCCTGCTCCAAATCTTGCTCCTGATCTTACTCCTAATCCTATACTCCTACTGTTTCAGCTCCTCTGCAGCCACTACTACCACCGCCACCACGCCGCCGCCGCCACCACCACCACCACCGCCACCACCGCCACCACCACCAACAACCGCCGTGACCACCATCGCCAATCATCACCACCACCAACACGCCGGCACCACCACCACCACCACCGCCGCCGTCACCGTGGCCGCCACCGCAACCAGGACTTTCTACTTACCTTATTCGCGACCTGCACCAACTATGTAGTGCTCCGGTGACCGTGGCAACACAATTAATGAGACATTGTGATTGTCTCCACAAGATTTCGTTTCGGGGTCGTAGTTGTCAAAAAACTGGTTGGATTTTGCCATAGTGTATCTTGTTCCTGTTGGTTTCTACTTGTTCGTACTCTTTCTGTTAAACCGCTCTATCGATTTGAAAGCTATTTTTGGTGTTGTTGCTTGTCTTTGACATGTTTTTACTGTTTTCACTCTTTCGAATGCTGGCATGTGTAGTCTCTGCATCGTCCGTACAAAGACACCTAGGACCCAGGGCTGTTCCTGGCAGGCACCGCTCCTGAGATGCAAGCCTCGTGCAGCCTGAGAAAAGCAGACCCGCGAACAGAGCTTGGGGAGGGGTTTAGGGTTTGGGGCGCCTTGACCTTGCCGTTTTGCCACGATGCGAAAGATGGTGTGCTGGGTCAAGGCTTGCGGAGCCGTTGAGAGTGAAAACATGGGCCAGGCAGGATACCGACGACTTCAGCCATCCATTTAGCTGGTCTGCACTTTTTTAGAATCACCTCCATCCAAGCCCACCTTTGTGTTCTTTGTCAAGTTTTTTATTTTTTCCGGCGCGGATGGTTTCCACGGGCACTGCCGCGACACTGATTCTGCGTCTCAGCTGCTCTGTGTGAAAATGTGCGGCGCACGCTCGGCCAAAGCGCCAAGATTTTCTGAGGCCATCTCTGGGCTTTGTCTTGGACGATGGGGGGCGGATTGCGGAGGCGTCTCTGCTTCATGAAGCCGCGTTTCGGAATCGCAGCGGGTTGCACGTACATGATGAACGTTGTGACCATGGCAGAGGTCGCCTGTACCTGCAACGGAGTTGTCAGGCCCTCAGCTACTTTCACTTGAGATTCGTTCGGCCGCTTTCCGCGGCCTCGTTGGAAAACTTCGAGTGGCCTCAAGCATCTAGAAGCTACACCTGCTGCACAATGCTCTCTACAGCCGCTTGCCGAATCAGGTTGCCCCAGGAGGTGGACCCGCAAGCTTCTCGGCACGAGGTGCTTGCTTAGCACATGCCCTTTCCTGAGGTGCATTCGAAAATTGTTTACCCATCATTCCGTTCATCTGGTGATCGCTGTGTTTCTCAATCCTGTGGCAGCTTTGGTTTAGAGCCATGAGTCAGAATCCGAAGATTCGGCACCTGCCGGCTCGTAGAGTTGACCCTCTGCTCCCCTTAGGATCTCAGCTGGAACTGCACATGTCAAAAATCCGTTCCCAAGCCAAGTGGCAGGATCCGCGCCGTCCAAGCAGTCACGGAAGACGGTGGTGGCTACAACCACGAGCAGCAGCAGGACGGATCAGTTTGAGAGGGAGTTAGGGAAGGAATCATTGTCTTCATCCAGGGTCCCTTGCCGGGTGCGGTCCGTCGGAAAGCTTTAGAGCTGCTGTCAGACAGTGTACAGTGAGGCCTGCCTCGCCCTTTGCTCTCATCTCCTTCCCTGTAAGCTTGCGCAGGTCTTCCTCCAAGGGCAAGAGTAACTCGAAGTCACGAGGCGCTTGGCTCTCTTCGTTTTTCTCAGCCTGGGGTTTGTGGTGTGGCATTCTGGGATTCGTGGTAGGGTTCTACCTTGTTGAGTCCGAGTAGGAGTGTGGCTTTGTCGTTCTTGGAGACCACTCTGCGGCTCACTGCCAGGTGCAGGCGAAATCCAGCACCTGGGCGTTCCACACTCCGCACGGCTGCACCCCGTTCTCCAGGAGAGGGGCGATTCCACGAGCCTGCAGGCTTGACAGCACCATACCGCACCTTTCACAGGGGAGCTTCGTGATTTGGTCAGATTTGCAAGGTGACTGGCGTCAACGAGGAGGATCAGATCAGCACCTGCTTGAAGGTGGCAGCAGAGGACCCGTCGGAAACGTATCGCAAGTCCGAGTTTCTGTCGACAAGAGCCTCGTACTCGTACTTCACGGCTTTCCGACATCACGCCGACTGCATGGATTTTGGGGTTCGGGATGCTTTGGGCGATGTTCTGTGGATTTGTGGGTCAGGTCCATTTGGATTCCGGAGCCTCGATGCTTCTGACCAGGCAGAGTGCTCGCGGGTCAAGATGGCCTTCCAGCACATGCGCCCGCACTCAGCGGCTCAGCGGGCCGGAGGGTCTGACAGGGTCTCCGTTGGATGCGGGGCAGCCACTCAAGCCAGATAGCGATGAAGATGAGGCAAGCCCAGTTGGAGCATTGGGTGTCAAGTAGGCTTCCAAGCAGGTGTTTACGTATAAGCTCGCAAAGGCATGCCCGGGCCCGCTGATTTGGGGCTTGGACTTTCGCTGCATTACTTCCCAAAAGATTCAGAAAACTCTGAAAGAGAGCCTTCCTGCGGGGAAGTCTGCTTTAAGGTGCCCCTACTTCGCCGCCCTGAAGCCTGGCTCTTTGGTGCTCGAGGCCCGGTGTGGCGTTTTCAGGCCCTGACGCCTCGGGACCCAGGCATGCGATGCGTTTTGGAGTGTTAGAGGTCTTCGGGGCTTTGGGGCGGGGCGGGGTGGGGATCCGCAGAGTGCCGAGAGGTGGGTTCCCGGTCTGGAGACGTGACCGTCATGTTCGCCGAGCGCTTCCCGGAGCTGCTGCGCTGGGGAAGTTTGATAGCCCGGGTCTGGAACTTCATGGAGCGTTTGTTTTCAAGCATTCTCGGCATGAGCCACGGTCACGATTCCCAACAGCCAACGTTTTTCTCTGCGCAGTTTCCTTAGCCGGAAGAGCTATTATCAGGCCAACCAGATGAGTGTCCGGGCGTTATAGAGTCGCTACTCACGTGTACTTTTTCTTTGCCTCGATTGCAGCCGAGAAAAAACAGACAATTTTGTTCCGGGACGCACCTGTCGGAGTTGCGATTCCGAGGACGCACGAACCCAAAACGACGAGTGCTTTGAAAGCTGATCTCCACAGAGGTTCAACAGATGTCAGACTCGAAGCGAGCATAGAAGAACGCATCTCCAACCCGTTCTCAAGATACCCTCACCTTTCCTTCATCTGAACGGCTTTTGCATTCACGATGCTTCTGTGAAGCTTTAGAATTTCTCCGGCGAAACCGCAGCTCGGCAAAGCAGGCGTGGGGCTTGAGTATCTGAAGGTTCGAGTCACGAGGTTTTGCATCATCCAGGCTGCTTGATTTCGCACACTTGGGTTACGATGCCACACCGGGGGCTGCCGATGTGCCGGAGTCTGACGCTGCGAGCACCGCGGAAAAGCAAGTAGTGCCATCACGAGGTGATAACGATGATTGGCAAGCGTAACATTGGTTTTGCTCAGACACCGCCGGCCAGGAGCTGTACATCCAGCCGACCGAGGGCACAGGAGACACGTCTCCTGGCCTCTTCATGCTCTTACAGGTGGGCCGGATTAGGGCATCGAACTTTGGACTGCTTCGCATGCTTTGCCCATGGAGCCTGAGCTGACAGCCAGGAACGCCTCACAATGGTGAGAAAAGACCTCCAACCACGAAAGAGGACCAAGAGGCGTGCCGTTGCAAGAGCCCCAACAGGGTCGAGGTTAGAGCACACAAAGCCAGCCGCAATTGCAGTCCCCAGAAAGGGGCTGACTGAGGCCTCCGAGAACGTGTCTCGAAGCCGAGTTCTTCCGCGGCGTCCTTGAAAGACCTCGCCTTGCAGTTGTCGAGCTCTTCGATTTTTGCGATAGTCTAGACTCCAGACTCTCGACCCTGGTGGGCCGGATTGCCCGATGAGAGGTGTGGATCCGATTATCGTAGTAGCAATGAGTTGCGCGGCATCGGAGAGCAAGGACGTGCAGAGTCCTTTACGAGCATTCCGTGTGCTCAAAGCACAAACAGATGAAAAGACGACGGAGACCAAACGTCCTGGTCACATCGATCGTACTGCTCGCGGAGAGTGATTCTCACCTGTCACCCGTCTCTGCCAAGGCCCAAATTCCTGGATGGAGGCAAAAAAGGCCGGACAATCACCAGAGACTTGCAAGGTATGGAGTGGAGTTGCATCTCTCTACAAACCCGAAGCCGTTGGGGAGGCTGGCGGACCAAGCTAGGGCAGGAGATCCACTGCATCTTCTGTGTGAACGCCGGGGCCCGTGGTGCCGTGGCGATGGACCAATTTCTGATTTCTGCCTTCAGCACTCGCAGGTGCTACACTACGTGTCGCCGTTAGGCCGAACCCTCCGCCTGTGTCGCTGCTTGTGTCCTTCTCATCATGCGTGCTTGCTGATGAGTTTTGGCCTTTCAATCTCCAGGCCTGGAGAACTTCATGCAGGGCTGCAGCGACCACCTGCCCGTGGGAGGCATCGGGAGTGTCCGAAGGATTCCCAAACTCGAAACTCATCGAAACCCCTAAACCTTAAACCCCAAACCGCCTAAACCCTGCTACTGCTAGGTATGCTCCTGGTGAGTGGGCCCTTTTTCAACAACGGCGAGGCCAGGCTCTCCTAACCGTCGCAACGAATAATAAGGCGGCTGCAGGGCAGACAAGCTTCGCCGTAGTCATATGCAGTCACTAGCAGGCAGTATCATGTGCTTTCTGTTTTCCAGCAGCTGATTGAATGGAGTAGGTAGTCACGCCGATCATCGTCGAAGTTTCTGCTTGTAAGAACCGTGAAGGTGGAAGATCGTTGAAGTGTGCAGGAACTAACATAGCTCAAATCCCCGAGCGCCAGCACCGGAGCTCTCGGGACCTCGAGGCCGCGGAGACCCTCTTGGTCTACGACGCGGCCCTGCGAGCCTTTGCGGATGGCCCTGAAAGGCAGGGCTGCAAAACTCAGGGCTCCGACGCCCTCCCCTAGTTGAGTCGGGAGCCCCTCACGCCACTTTCCGAATCTGGAGATCTCTGGAGCTTCTTCGAGCCGCTAGAAGTAGGGACGAGGCAAAAAATGCCAGCCCCGCGTGACAGGAAGCTGAAGTGGGGTCGGCCCGTCACCATTCCGAGGGACTTTCGGGCGGTCTAGCTTTCCGGCTTTCTAAGCCCTGAATATGCCGTCGTCTGAAGCGCCTTGTGTTTGCTTATCTGCTTATCGGCCTGTGCTTTGGAAAGAGGATAGCTTGGATTGTCGCAGCATGGCTTACAGTGCTATTGGAGCTGTTCGTGAGACACAAACATAAAATGGCTAGCTTTGAGAACGTTGAGGGAAGACTTCGAAGTGTCGACTGCTGATGTTGGAGGTCTAGCTTTCTGAGTGTAGCACCCGTCGTCAGCTTGATGGTGTAAGTAGCTCATGCATCCTGCCCGGCTGCTTCTGTCATTTATTGTTCGACGCTGCAGCTTGGCCCGATGTGTCTGTAGATTCTTCTGTCTATTCTGGTGACAAGGATTCAGTCTATGCGCCCCGCGGCCTTTCATCTAACTGCGGTTGTGCATGGAAGACTTTGTGAGCCCTATTCCCCGAAGCTCACTAGAAGGTTCTCGATGTAGGTATTGTTGGCAGGTTGTGTCATAGTTGTAATGGTCTCGTTAGTCATCTTGCAGCTGATACGCATGCTAACGAAACTGGCAAAACAAACACCGAGTCGATGACCAGCTTTCTAAAGCTCATCAACCCAAGCCCCTGAGCCCTACACCCTTTCTCCGAAAAATCCAACGTCTTAAAACCATCCTAAAACCCTGCAGCTTTAAGAAATTAGAAGCCAGGCTGTCACGACGTGGTGCGCCTCAAAGCCATGGGTGCTCAGGCCAAGAACCGGACAAAGCTGATTGCCGCACGACACGGTAAGGTTGCATCCAGTGCGAAGGAACGCAAGCAACGTAGGCTTACATTAGCATCGTAGCAAGGCGGAGGTCCGATGCGTGCCGGCCTTGCGATGACACGACTGTGGCTCGTGCAGGACTTGGCCTAAAGCATTCGAGCCTCATGATGACGTATTGAGTACGTATGACTTATCAGGTCAAAGATGACGACATGTAAAATATAGCCTACGATGCTGCCCATGATGGTGATGATGATGATGATGATGATGAGATGATGAGAGCTTTTGTCATCTTATCGATTATCAATGTCGCTTTTGGGGTCCTCGTGATCATCTCTTGTCTGTGTCGCCATGAGTCGCTGTCTTCCTTTGCGGCAGGTAGGCCTCAGCTTCGTCGCGCAGTCGGAGACGGACGGGGTCAGACCCCCATACGGTGATCAAGCTTTAACTCGGTATTCAGGTCTTGGACTTTGGGGTCTTGTCTCCTGAGCCCGAAACCCCAAAGGCTTAAGCATGAGTCTGTTAGAACGGGGGCAGTTTCTGGAGGTGGATGCAGCGTGCATGGAAATCGGTGATTATAGTCGCACCAAGCAAAGAGACGGAGAATCAGAAGACTGAAAACCCATAGTGGCAGCAACGATGTTGTGGGCCTCAGATTTGGTCTGCTCTCTCCGTGGAAGCGCAGCTTCTACCCCGGAAGTGTCTTCTATGAAGGAATCGGCACTCCTCGCCACTACTCTGACAACACCTGCTGCTATCGTATCTAATCATGCGTGAGCCGGTGACTGAGGTACAGTAGAAGTAGTGGGAACGCACAGTACGTTAGAGGGTGTTCCTATTACTTCGGCAAGTTGTGCTGTTGGTTTCAGCATTGTTTGCTCTGGGAATGGCCATTGGCTAGTTTCTCATAGACGCAGCAGGGCCCGACAAAAGATTCGTGCTATGGTGTCCTACTTGATCATCGTGGCCCCGCTCCGTCCCTGTCCCCTGTCACATAGTCGTTGTTCTGTCGAGCGAGGTTGGTGGACATAGCTGGATCCTGCTTGCCTTCTGTAAGGAAAGACGTCACGGCCCCGGGGTGCTGGTGTCTCACTAGTTCGCTTCTGGAGCTCTGGGTTTAGGCAAAGATGGGACAGACCGGAGCCTCACGTTACCCTGCTCCCTGCAGAGCCTTGTGCAAGCTGCAGAAGTAGCTGAGCCGAGGATTGCTGCCCGAAACCTTGAGACGTCGCTCTTCCACGGCCCTGGCCTCGGTGGCAAGTACTAGGGCGTAGCAATGGTAAGGCTTCCCAGCGGTAGTGCATTAACTGCATTGGTCATCTGACATCATCTGACCGTTATGCTGATATTAATACCATGTTGCCTCTGTCTATGATTTCTGACTTGGGTTCTGTTTATGCGCTCTTGAAAGCAACAGTGATACTCGTGTTGCCAATGCTACAGCGACGACGGCGACTACTACGACGAAAACTACTACCACTACGATAGCGAGAAAGAGAAGAACAACAAGACTTCGTCGCCGTTGTCGGGGGGGAGGAGGAGGAACAACGACACGCAGGGTGCCTGCCATAAGCCACGGTAGCGCTAGCAAAAGTGGTAGCAGAATCACTGCTTCAAGTCAGTTGGAAGAAGGCGAAGGTCGATTCTACAAGGTGTGGTTGTTTTTTGACAGAACCTGATAGAAACTTGTCATCCCGAACATCAGCATCGGCATCCTTCTCTCCCCTCCTCGTTCTCCTTGTCGTCTTTGCTTTCATTGTCCTCATCCGCATCGTCTTCATCCTTCCCTCCCTCGGCCTCCTCACCCCCTTCCTACCACGGTCACACGTGGAGGTGGAGTCCTTCTACTCGTCAACACAGTTTTTGTGCAGTTGTCTTCTTCGTTCAGGGCTTGGCGGCGGCACGTTTCGTAAACTCAAAATGGCTTCAATGAGCTATTGCAATAGTCGTGCTCACTGGCCTCCGCTCTCCGTGTACATGCCTGGACGACTCTACTCTTCCTATGTACTTGCGAACAGGTCTAATTGGTCTAGTTTTGATCAGAGGCGCGAGGATTTCAATAGAGCTCACGATGTTTCGCAGTCAAGCTTTTGAAGAGCACACTGTAGGTGCAGTCTGGCCTCTTCAACACTGGCTGAAGAAGGCCGGTGTGCCTGTCTCTGTTTACAGGACAGGCAACTGGTCTGGTGGCAACTTGTCTGTAGCTACTGTTCTTCTAGATTTATAGGTGCTGCACCTGGCAGACTGCAGAATATGTGGTCGGTCGGGGTTCCGGCTGGATGCGATGCCCGCAGACACTGATTCAGCCGCATGTTGTGCCACTTGCGTATAGACACACTGTCTACCAGCAAATTTCTTCCCTGCGGGCAGCCCCTGGCACGGAAATTCAGCAAAGGCTAATGACACCAGATGTGAGTCTGAAGCTGCGATTGCAGCCAGCGCTGGCGCTAAAACAGCCCGGTGTGAGATAATGCCTGTGCCCTACAGCAGCCCGTGTTGTTTCTGTGGGGGCTCAGTATCCTAAGATAGAGTGAGCTCGCGAACGGCTCGCGGGAAAAAAGAACCGTGGAAACACACTGACTCGGCTGGCGCAGCTAGCGCACTACGTCTCGCCCGACCTCGGCAATGGTTGCTGTTGAGCTACAGTGTTATATTAGTCTCGGCAGTGGGAGTAGAAAGATCCGGGACTGGGGTGTTCTCCTACTCTAAAATGAAGCAGACGCAGTTTTGGCGAGAGGCTCGCAAACTAAACTCTGGACTTCGGCTTTTGTTCCCAATCTAAATGAAGCAGACTTGGTTTCCGTGCGAAACACAGGATTTCGGTTTGGTTTTCCTAGTTGAAATCGTCTAGGTTTTTGCCGAGGAACTTGGGAATTCGGTTTTTTTCCCAAAAACCCCTCTGGGGTTGGGTTCTCGTTCAGAACGGTAAGCCGCGAGAGCGCGATAACGAAGCCGACGCGTCCGGGAAGAGCAAACGAAGAGGAAGCCGTGTACGGAGGGATCGCGGAGCGTCGGGAAGAGGCAGGGGCAAAGAGCGATAACGGTGCACCGGGACGGTGCACGGGTGCACGGGAAGGTGCAGGAAGGGGACAATGCGTTGTGTTCCATGCGATCAAAGGCCTTCTTT